AATCTATTCAATAGTATAAATATTATAAAAATATTGATTAAAGTAATTAATTTTGATTCAATAAGTCAAAGAATATTTTATGTAAATTTTATATAAATATTATAACGACAAAGAAATAGAATGTAGAAACTTGACACTGTTGTCTTTAATTATATTATGTCATTATTATTATTATTTTCTTTTAAATACACATATTATAGAAATTGGTACATAGTAACACTTTTACTAGTAACACTATACTAACGAGTAGTTTATCTCTAATGCCATCAAATATTTTTATGAACAGATTTTTAAAACACTTTTTTAATACCGTTTTCGATTAGTAAACCTGGGGTAACTTTTTCAACCGAGATCTACTTTTAGTACAATTTTCATTTTAGATGGTAAATCTTGAATGAATTTTATAACATTCGAGACTAATTTATAACAATCTAGATATTTGTCAGAGTAGCAAGATGACTCTGAAAATAACAGCTATTTATTTGACTTGACAAATAAAATGTGATTTGCTTCGATATATGCATGGGCGTACCCAGAGCAGAAATAAAGAGAGGGCGCTGGTATGCCGATTTGACATTATTATATACTTTTTGCAAGCATAAAGTGGAAAAACTATTTTTTAAGAAATATATGTATGTCAAGTATAACATGTGTTGATATATTAATAAAAAATTAAAAAACGCAAATTTTACACGTTTCTTAAAAGCAATATTTAAATTTTATTCAAAACAATAATGGAATATTTAAGTTTAGGGGGGGCTCAACTGCACCTACCTGTGTACACCCATGGATATATGTATTAATGAAAAATATAAGTTTTATAGTAAAATAGTATTAGTAGAATACTACTACAAAAATGTTAGATTACACATAATATGTTCGATTGGGGAACAAAATTTGACAGATCGAGAGTAAATCTATTATAGATTGAATTCAGATTTACAAATCGAAAACACCATCAGTTAAATCACAATAAAATCATCAGATGAGCCCTGTGGTTGAATTAAAAATTTAAAAAAAAAAACTACGTGTATCAAACCGATTTCATTAAAACGATTGATTGTCGTGTTTAATCTCGTTAGAACCTATATTAAATTTAATCATTGTGTAACTCCTCAATTAATCGCAAATGAGCTACATTTTTAAAGTAGCACTCATAAGAAAAGAAAATTAGAATCGTGAAAGGTATATAAATTTACGAAATTCGATTATTTAACCTTGTTCCTAATGATCTCTGAAAATTGTTTCTAAATCTTTTAATTTTGAATTTAAATTTTTGAACTTTAATCTGGGGCATCTAAATACAATAGAGTTTTGATATCCTTCATGTATAGTGAAAGTGACAGTCACTCTCAATAGCGGCCATCTTCCTTAAACATGCAATGTTGATAGTTCCTATTATGCATAGAAAGTATGTTCTTCTAGTTTTTTTAGCCAAAGAGAATTGTCGGGCACGCCGCATAGTGTAACACAATAAAGACTAACTGAACAAAATTCTGTGTTTAAAAGGCAGATTTCACATAGTAATGTTTTCGTTTATAAGTTTAGGTGTATTTTTTTTAATTTATTTATTTAATTTAATTGAATTTGTTTAAATAATTGATTATTATTATAATATAATAATAACTAACCTAAAATAGATCGAATAATATCCAAACATGTTCAATCTAGTTTCATATTGTACTAATTGATAGAACTTATGACATTCTATAAATATCATATAATAACTTTTAAAGGCATTTATTCTGCTCTACAGTGAGAACTTAGTTGTGAAGCCACTAAAGTGGTTTAGACACACGTTTGTCACATTTCTAACGAAGTCACCATGGTTTAGTGGGTTATAATTATTTTCAAATAATATTAGTTAATGAGTAGACGTACAAATAGGTTAGATAACAAGAACATAAAAATCATATACTAATACTAATAATATACTGATTGTTTTTCTGGTTTAATAACTTACTAATTATTTTTTACATTAATTTTCTTAAGAAAACTGATATTAGTTGTTTTCAATTTCTCCTTTACAAAAGAATTGGTCTTAAGTACTATACTAAATATTAATATATAAATAGGTATATACACTATACTGCAGAAAATACTTCTTTAACCAGTCATATTTATTCTTATATATGTTTCTGTTTTCTTATTATTTTTTAATTTTCCCATTCTTATAAGTATCTCTAATTCCTAATATTATTATTAGGATTCTAATAATATATCTAATAGTATTCCTAATATTTTATCTTAACTGTGCTTTTAATTTTACTTTAACATCTTTTAAATGTGAGAGGTTTTGAATGGTTGAAAGGAGGTTTAATCTTACCAGTCAGAATAGGAAGGATATTCTGTTTTTAACATTCATGCTTTCTTCATTGCTTTTTTTATCCTATTTTTTGTCTTTTAACATTGAAAATATGTATACAGAGGTTTTCTACAAGAAAACTGTAATATTTTTTCTTATTCTTTCGTTATTATAGTATATGTGGCTGGCGTTTTTTTTAAAATTTTCTTTCAATTTTTAAGTGCAGTTAGCTGGCATTTTGGCTAATGCTTATTTTATATTGCTTCCATCCTTTTTAGTATAGTTAGTTGGTACTACGGCAGTTTTTTAGTTTGATATACAATATAGATTTCAGTTCAGTTGGATACCATCTGCATGCTTAAGTCAACTTAAAGCTATTATTTATTAATATATATTTTTATATTAATTAGATTGTGAATAACTCGAATTCGGAATCTACAGTTCTTATTGAAACTGAAAAAATTGTTTGTGTTTAAAAAATATTTTTATTACGAAACCGTGCTTCTAAATAAAGTTGTATACTCGAAACTTCGTTGTGTGGTCAGACAAATTTCAATTAATTAATTAAATTTTTGTTGTTACTGCTTCATTACTGTTCGAACCTTTCTAGATATCTTTATCGTTATGATATTGATTTATTTGAATAAATAATTTTGTTTTAAATACAAAACGAATAATCTGTAAATATTTTATCGTATGTATATATTAAAAGTAATGATTAAACATATTAAAGGTAAGCTGATCTCCCTCATATGCAAAGTTCAAAGAGTCGAATATGTTACCAACTAACATAACTGTCGTTGTTTGAAAATAATGAGTGATATATATTGACTGAATACGACAATCAAAGAAGTTTTATTTTTATTATAATGGTCAATAAGTCGCTTTGAGTATACATAAATTCAAACAAGCATTACGAAAAGAAAATATTAATATCGCAAAAATGATACTACTTTCAAATTCACGGGGCTATAAAAGTGGGGAATTATGGTACTGAATGAATTACAATTACTGTAATATCGCTGATAACTGAGACAGTTGGAAGCAACTTGTACTGTCACATCCTCTATATAAAACTACAAACATTATTTTTTATTATAACTGTTATTGAACTAGATATTGAACTAGATAAAGGAAACTTGTTTCTAGTCTATGTATTTTATAGGAGCGGGAAATATAATAATTTATAGATTGACGACTGAGCCAGTTAAAGATACCTTGGTTTTGTTGCATAATCTTTATAAGAGTAATAAACACTATTATTTGTAGTCTTCACTCTGACAAGGAAATATCAACAAATATTATTTAAATCTTTTTATATTTCTGATGAAAACTGTCTATGGTATCACGCAGAGGTAGATTCGTGTGCGAAATAATTTTAAAATTATTACAATCATGAAGTTGTTTGAGATATTGCGAAATTTTCATCATCAGTGAAGTATATTTGAAAGTAATTATCTTTAGCTGAAACAGTTATGAGTACCACAAGCTAATTTTTGAATTTTTTTTATTTTCCTTTATATTAGATAGAAGGTTTGATGGTTAAAAATATTTGGATTACAATGCCAAATCACGCTAAAGTCACTCAGTATTAAGTTCTTACAACATCAGATTAAAGGTTGCGACTTATTTTGAACTCTTATGCTGTAATAACGTGTATCTGCTTTCAAATAGTAGTAAAAAAGTGCTGAAATTTTTTCTGGTCATGCTTAGATATAGTATCTTTTAAATATACGTATGACTTTAATTGCAATGCTGAAGTTATTGCATTTACTATAATCCCAGATTTAGTAGTTAAGATATTTATTTTAATTTTTTGTGAAGTCTTAATGAGGTAAAAAAAATTAGTTTCTTTATTTAAACATTTAGAGAAAGTATATTTATAATCATAAATTAAATCATAATTGAAATTTACATATATCATGTAAATAGGAGATTAACATAATTATTATTGTCATTATTTTATTACAATACTTTTCCTTATGAACAAAACGTATGTTATCTGATGTTTTAAGAGCTTAGTTAATTGGTTTGAACTCAAAACTAACTGGTCTTTAGTACAAAAAGTTTGTAATTTGTAATTTTCTACTTTTATTTTAATTTATTATTTAATTTTATTACTTGAATGTAATTAACAGCAAAACAAATTAATTAAGTTGAAAGCATGTAAAAGTGGCTTTGACAAGAAAAATAATTATTGTAGCCTTTCATTTTTAAACATATGAGTATGTAAAAATAACATTATATGTTTAAAATGTATATGTACCTCTATATATATTTAATAAATAATAATTAAAAAGTTTTAATGAAACATATATATGTATATATATACATTCATCTGTATATACTACATCTATGTATATCTTGCGGTACAGCTACAACTTAATAGTTTTTAAATTACCTCTATAGTTTCTTAAACTTTTCAAATTTAGTTTTAAAACTTTTGAGTGGTTTTCCAAATTTAATTGGTCCAAATAATGACACATTATTATCAGCAATCAATTGTCTGTTTGAAAGTTCTTAAATTTTTAATTGATATTTGAAAATTCTTTGTTTATTATTTCAACTGTTGCTAATTATGAATATTATGCTCTGAAAATACTTTTTTTTAATATGAAGTTCACATTATTCCTTTATTTAAATATAAAATTTAATTATTTAATTAATATATTAAAAATTATTTGCCTTTTTGCAGATGCTGATTTTTCACATCCAAGTTTTGAACCAATTTGTAATACACAAGACGAGCATTTTATTGAAAGTGATGGAAAAGAATCTAGTCTCATACTTGAATTTAATCCCGGCGTTTTAGCCGAGAAGAAAACATCCTGCACTCGCATACTAAGTACAACTGCTAATTATGGATTTATAGTGCGTCTTATATTACCAAAAATTCGTCGTGGCTTTCATCAGACTCCACCCACCATAACTAATAATAATGAGAAAACAAAAACAATTTCTGCTTTAAATGAGATGACTTCATTGATTGAAAAAATCAACTCAACTGCTTTAAAATCGGGTCTGGGACGTTCTTGTCCAATAAGTGTGGTAAGTTGAGATAGTTAATGTTTTGCAATATAAATGAGAGAAGTTTATTAATAATGCTATATAAGAGATGCTTCGATCAATGAAATTGAAAAAATATGCTGTACTTATATTTTGACTAACCAAGGGCCACAGTGTAAAAGCAACCTATTTTAAACAAATAACAACAAAAAAAGTATACAGGAACATCTTTAAATTCATAACTTTAATCTCTATTATTTTTAATTTATTTATTTTTATTTATCAACATAATTTATATTAATTTATATGCACTGTTTACACCGGTAGTCCATTTTCTAAAAAATCGATATTATTTTCGTTGGTTACTACAAGATTAATTGCACCGATTATGTCTACTGTTGAAGATTCTTCCTTCCAATTTTTTGGGATACGTTCAAACGTGTCATGGCGTTAGATCCGAGAACTATAGTGCTAGTCGAAATACTTTAATTCCGGAAACCGCGATCAAGTTTTTTCACTAGTAAGACCTGACGCGTACCGAATCAGTTATTTATTTGTCGAGATTCCCAAGCAATATTTAAAAATTGTTGTAAGCAGGTTTAAGTAGTTACTAAATTTCTGTTCAAAAGAACAGAGGACATCTTTTCTTCAAAGGAATGACAATCACAAATTTCTCTTTGATGAAGTAAATTTATAGCATTATATTTGTTGCTGACTTTTATAGTCTAGCTTTAACGGGTTAATTAGCACGTTTTGACCTTAATACCATCGACTGCTGATTTGTTTCTGGGTCGTATCTACAGAACTAAGCTAATTAATTAATTAACGGTGATTTAGGTTAAAAATTGAAAAATTCATCGTGCTGCGATCTTCTGGAATTTGAGATGATAGTTTTAATAATTGCAATACAGTCATGGCATTTAAGATCAGTTAACCAACAAATTTATTAGTCAATATAGGTTCTTCATCTATTTTGAACTTTACGAGATTGGCGCTTACATAGACAATCGAAGAAGTTGTCACATCTGGAGTATCCGTAACTAATTTAGAACGGTTACAAAGGATGATGTAATCTTTCTACATGCTATTTGACACTCATTAAATATTTTCACTGCCTTAAGGTTACGTCGAAATTCGTAAAGAATGGCAAACGAAATATCTGGTTCCGATGGCATTGGTAAGCTTGCGCCGATTGTTTGTCATTAAACTTGGGTTTACTTGTTTCCATTTTGATTGGTTGTTTTAAAACTTTATATGAAATACCGCAGTGATGTGCTAAAACTACAGGCATTTTTAAATTTATTAAAAATGCATACAACTCTACCAACTAATCAAATTTTTGTTAGTCTCACAGTATCTTACTTTAGACAATTGTGACAAAAATATAAAGATAGCACCTACGTGACATTGAAATTTTGAAACAATCTGGAACTTTGAAATACAAGACGAAATAATTTTAATAAGACCACTTTGAATTCCTTTATTGTAAAACCATTTTACGTAGGCTATCTTTTAGGATTTACGTCTAGGTAACGCCATGTATTGCCAAATGAGTGTTACAAATTCAAGCAAATGGTCTCATGTTCATTTAGAAAAACCGGTCATGTCGCAACTGTACTACTTCAGGACAACCAACCGTCAAAGCAACGTTACAGAAAAACGAAAATGCATATTTTAATTCAAATGTAAAAACTGTCCTTTATTCTTGCTGCAAAACATCGAAAGATAAGGAAGAAAGATACAAACATTTTTTTTTGCAATAAATGCCTGCATATTAAATGCAGAACTTTTGCTACAACCAAATCAGAAAGCCGCTGTTACCGAAATAAAAAATGGAATTGGATAGGGCATACTATCCGACAACCAAATTAATACAAGCTTTGACATGGAACCCACAAAACAGCAGACGCCCTGCTGCACCGGCATTAACTTAGAGAAGAACGATTGAAAGAGCAATGACAGAAGCGCACTAGATATGGAACGATATATGCAGAGAAGCACATAACAGAGTATGGTTTAAGAGAATCGTTGCGGCCCTATGCCCTACTAGGGGAAACGGACAGTAAGGAGATGAAGAAGAACCCCCAAAGGAACCTCATTCTCTACCTTGACAATTCGAGCTCCCACTCGTCAGCTCAAATAAAAGAGAGTTTGAGCACTCAAAACATGAAAATGTTAGGTCATGTGCCTTACAGTCCCGACTTGGCACCCAATGACTTTTTCTAGTTCCCAAACATTAAGAAAAAAGTGCGAGGCAAGCGTGTTTCTACACCCAGCAGACCGTTAAGAAACATAGAACCCTGGAAATATTAACTTTAGAGTAGCATAACTATTTCGGAAATTGGTTCAATCGAATGCAAAAATATATCAATTATAATAGAGAATACTTCGTCAAACAATGAAACTATTTTTACTGATTAAGCACTGCATTTTCATTTTTAGGCGGCAAACTTAAAAGACATCCCTTGCATTTCATGAGCCAAATAATTATAAAATTACTATATCGAATCTGGGATATGATTGATATTGAAGAGGATAACACTTTTGTATTAAGAAATATGGAATATTATTATAATATTAGAGATCTATTATATGCTGAAAAGTTTATTTAATTTTTAAGCAAATATTGAACTGATTTATCACATATCCCTCGTATTGGTATGTACAAACAAAAGGTGTTAAATAAATAAATATTTATTTATAATATAAACATTTATATCTAAATTCATAAATAACTAAACCACTAACTTATTTTTTGGTTTACTTCACAACTTTAATAATTTCGTTAATTTCTCCTCAAAATTTTGATTGGTTTCAGGTTTATTGTTAAGCCCATTCTCAGCTCCATATTAGCACATTAGCACAATCTAATTAGTGCGGTAAGGCTAAAATCAGATTTTATGCTTTATATACTCGCATTATGGATTTTACATAAATATGTACATATGTACATATGGTATGTATAAATGTTATACTTAATTTTTCGATTTTTGTTTGTTTTTTGTGGTTTCGATACGCATGCGTAGTCACTCTACCAGTATTTTCAATTTTGATATTTTTTGTTGGTTTGATTCAATGAAAGCAAATGTGATGAATCATTTGAAATAGTTCGGCATGAACTAGGCTTGTTATATATTATGATCAATAAATTTAAGGCCTTTACGATTTTACGGAAGTCGTTCACTTTTAAATTCTTTGTGAAAAGATCTTTGTTTGGTAAATAATATAAAATCTTTTGTTAAGCAAACAAAGTTTTATCGAATTCGTTAATTGATAACAAAGTGGAATTAAATACAGTTTTGTATCTTTATATCACTTCAACTTTTTATTTTTACTGACATATTTTAGTTCTTACCTTTTTTTTTATAGAGATATGCTTTTATATACCTTTGAGTATAATTGAATGTAGAAACTTCATAGCAGTATGTATTTTGATATAGAATATATATACATAGTACATATGTACCTCTATTTTCTATACGTATGTATATGGTACATATGTTTCTATAGTTGCTATATAAATAAATAAAAAAAATAAATAAAAATAAAAGTGAAATAAAAAGTATAAATAAAAAAGTGAATGAGTAAATTCGATTGATAAGTCAGTAGTGACTCCATACTTAAAATAAGTCTAACTTGCCTTATAACCAATGTTCTGTAATAATATATCACATTCCCAAAATAATGAAAACATTTACATAGGCAGTGTTTTTAGAACGTTTCTAACATAATTCGTTCTTTATTCTGTCTGCTTTGGTGCTGTTATTTAGCATAATTTTTACTGGTTTGGTGCTGTTAGCTTGGTTTTGTTTTCAGAATGTTAGCTAGTCTTTTTTTAATTTTCAATACTTTCCTAAACAGTGTGCCGAAAAAACCTTCAGTTTAATTATTTTTAATTTTTCATAAAATAAATAGAAAAATTATGTAAACATTTTAATATAAATGAGAAATGATTCCAGAAATGATTGAACATTTTTAAAAAAAATCTGCTTAGAATAATAAATATTTTCAAGCCCATTTAAGTACCAGAACATACAAGATGTTAAATTTATTGTTATTATTACATATTTGGCCATTTACAGCTACTGTTCAACATAGGGTTTGTCTAAATTTCTCTATTGCGTTTTTCTATTTATTCAATTGGATTCTATTTTTTTAATACAATCGCGATATTAAAGTGGAAAAAACGCGTTAGATTTTGGACACAGAGAAACCAAAGCTTACTTGGAACTGTATTACTGAAATATCATGATGATGATAATAATAGCCCCTAATTTTAAAATAACCGTAGAGTTTTTTTAAAACAGTATCAGCACATCAATAAATTTTTAATTTTTTTAACACTTTTTTGTTATGAATATGGTGTTCAAATATTGCGTCTATCGATTAACCTTTAAAGTTATTTATGAAAACTGGCAGCATACTATCTGCTCAAAAATCCGTGTTTGTTAACTACTCCTTAAGTAATAGACCTTTTTCAAAAATATTTCGTTATGTTGGTACACCCTTTCATGACATATGGTACAAATTTGAGCGCCATCTGTCAATTAGTTTGTTTACAGCAGCTGTTAATGTGAGACTACCTCAGGTACATTTAGCGATTTTTAATATGCTCACGCATTATATTCACCGGATCTGGATCCGTGCGACTTTTTCCTGTTTCCGAAACTCAAATTGCCTCTTCGTGGTAAGCGTTTTGAGTCGATTGAATCGGTAAAAGAGAATTCGCTGAAGGAACTAAAAGCCATACCTTCAAGGGCCTACGAAAAGTGTATGGAATATTGGGTTAAGCGTTGGTATATGTGTATCGCTTCACAAGGAGCATATTTTGAAGGAGATAATATAAATTTGGAATAAAATTTAAATTTGTGTATTTTATTTACAAAATTCGAGTACTTTTTGAGCAGAAGGTATGATTAATTCTGCTACTTTATTTGTTACTTGAAACCTACGCTCAAGTATATATTTATGCAATGTTATATGCATTTATGTATTAATATATGTATATATATAAACAGATTTAAATGTTATTTTACAATTAT